TATATTTTCTGAACGTCTGAGGTTTAAATTTTAACTATAAATTAAATATTCACGCGTAAAATAAATATTTCCCATCATACGATTTTCATCAAGTATTAATCGTATACATTTGAGATATTCCACTGCTATAATGTTATAATTTATAAATTATATTTTGTTATATTATATTTTTCAAAATATTTGCATTTTTTTTTTTTTTTAGAAATACCTAATTAAATAACTATAAATAATGTTTATTTTTGATCAAAAACTAATTCTTTTTTAAAACATAAAATTATACAAACATGACTTGTTATAGGTATTTTTATTTAAAAATTTGATAAAATTGAATATTTTATTATAATTTAAAAATATTTGTGAGGACTTAATACTATAACATATATTATTATGCGTGATAAATGTTTAAAATATTTAGATTAATTTTAAGTCATTATCTGCTTATTTTACTTAGTAAAATAAATTACTTTAAAAACAAAATAAACATGTAAGTTATATTCTTAGTTCCCGATATGGTTGATAGACTATATTTTTTTCGTATGCAAGAATTTATCATTGAATTAATTAAAGTAACTTAATCAATGACACTCGACACTTTATGTACATCAAAACGTAACCTAGGTACTTGGTATTTTTTTGTTTGAAAAAATTATCGATGAAGTGTTGATATTGTATTTTTGATAAGACTTTACACCTTTACAATTTTTTTGAAAAGTAAAAAAATGCACATCCCTAAAGCTTGTTAAAACTACAAACAGTACAAACCTATCATTTTTATTATTCTTTGTAAAACGATTTTAATTAAAATGCTACATTTTGTTAATAATAAATAAATAAATGAATAAATTATAAAGTAACCGGCAACATAATCTGGCAGCTTATTACTTATTTTGCTTTAGAGAAGTTATTTTTTTTTCTGTAATATAAATATAGAAAAGCAACTAAATCTATAAGGTGATTACAATTTATCAATAGTAAATATTTACATGTATAAAGAATATTCAATCAATAATTTAATTTTAAAACTATTAAGATTATGATTAATGAATAAATTACGAGTTTCTTTAACGTATAAAAATTACTTTTACTTATTTTATTATAAAATAAATACAATTTTACATAATTGCATGGACTTTAATTTGTTGTAGATACCTAGTTAATATTCAAAAGGCAACACGTGATGTAGTAAATATTGCCAAATAAGCTTTTATTATAGTTTATTTATCAAAATGCGGTTGTCTATAGTGTAATTTATATTACAACATGTATAATATAGGTTAATATAGTTATACGTGTTTTTAACGCAAAGACGCAATTAGATTAAATTTTTTATGAATCAAAAAATGGTTGTGGATGACCCGAGGGAAATTACAGACAAACATTGTATTCATATAGATAGGCCGTAGTGTATATTATTATAATTTATGAAATAAGATAATATTTACTAATCATAAATTATCGAATCATTTGAACAGTCATTTAAACATTTATGATATGAACAACTATTTTTAAGTAATTTTAAATTATCTACTGTATTTTCTGATTTCACTTGGAGAAAAATATTCATTTTGCTGATACAAATTGAACAATTTAAAAAAGTGTCAATACTTAGAAAAAAGGGGTTCTTATTTAATTTAATAAATACGTCATGTTAGTTTATATCAAAATTATTTATATACATGAAAATCATATAATAATATTTAAGTATTAAATCAATATAATTATACTATAACATCATATTATGTATGTTCAAATTATGATTATAAAATATGAATATTTATAATTATTTAACAACAAAATATATTATTTTTTTTTAACCCAAATAAACTCTTATTATATAAACAATAATAATAAAATACTTAACTAGTAAAGAATAATGAAAATTAATTTCCTGACTATAGTCAGGATCTATATACGCTGAAGCCTTTATATTACGTGAAGAAGACGATGTTTTTGTTTGAAAGTTCAGTACCATCACAGTTTTAATTTAAATTTCTGAATGAGTCATGAAGAATAAAATTCTAAAGTAACAAAAAAGAATTAAATTTTAAAATTAATAGTTACGGTTATTATTAACTATTATATATAATGGTATGCTTCTAAAAAAAAATATATAAATAGTTAAATAATATATATAATATAGATTTATAAAATGTTTGCAATAGTGAGTACCGCTTTGCTGTACATTAAGTGTTAAGTAGGTCACTAATATAAGTATGTAAAATTTGAATTTAATGATATACGATTGTACAAAAAAAAAAATCGATTTTGAGCGGAGACGGTTTATCAAACTATATCACTAAGTAATATATTTTTTTGATATGCGTATTAAAGTCATTTATTTTACTTTCAGCATTATAATATAGTAGGTTGATATAATTTCATTCTAAAAATATTTAATTTATTACATTATTAGTACTTAATTATTATAATAATATATATTATGTATACCATATTAAATCAAATTATATAATATCTTAAAAAAAAAAAATAAATATATTAGGTGCCGAATCTATATTTATCCTAAACGCGGATAAAGTATTTTAAGAATTAAATTACGCACTTTGTATATTAAATTTAGTTAAAAATTTAAGGTTTTGTCTTACATTTTAACGTACTAATTTCTGACGAAATTCCATCACTCGTACGAAGTTCTTATGAAGTTACATAGAAATGTATACCATTCCCTTTTTAAAATACGAAAATTATCTATGTAATGTGCCCTCTTTTTATCTATATATCCATTTTGCACAAGTCACAAAAAATAGAACAGACACTGCTTAAAAGAAAAATGATTAATGGAAAACCAATAAACCTTAAATTAGGTTTTTAATTAGTTCATGAATTACATTTTAATAGTTTTTAAGACTAGTTTTAATTTGAGAATTTTATTTTAGTAAAAAAGTGTTATTTACCTAAATTACTTTTGAAAGTTAACATGATTTTTTTTTTTAAATTAAATTTTTTCTTGGTTAACATAATGACTAATTCATTTTAACAAAGATAGATACAATATTTTATTATTAGTTGATTAATTACTACATTATATAATGAAATATTAATAAAAAAAATTATTTTTTTTAAATATTAATCGAGTATACAGACTTTCTGAAGTTTCAAATATTAAAAAAATGTTTGCTTTCAATAATTATATTTAATATAGTAGATATTTTACCAACTCAAAATTAGAAAAATTAACAAAATATAATTTTTTAAATTTTTATATCATATTATATTTTAGTAATTAAAAATAGCTCATAAAGAATAAGAAATCACGAATAAAAATTAATACCAACAATCAAATTAGATTTAAATTTAATAATATAATGCCATAATAACTATCAATTTTATTTTAATATAAGTTTACAAATTAAAACTTTTAAATTAATTTCTGTAGGTACCGTTCGATAATAATATTGAAAAAAAAAAAAATGAAAAAATTTAAATGTTAATTTCATCAGTTATCTTACGTAAGTCTAATAATGTCGAGATTTAAAAATATAGTAGTTTACATAAAATTATAACACCACACTATACGAGTAAGTTTTATTGTTATCTCATGATATTCACGTTCTCTACTGTCATCCTTAGGTACCGAATAGGCAATATCAAAGTGATTTCGGTTTCAATTTGTTTATATTTCAACAATACAAAAGCTGAATATATTTATGACTAAATTGGTTTATATTTCATGTTATTTCAAAATGTTAATTTGAATTAAAAGAAGTGATGGAAATAATAGATATACGTAAAACTAAAAATAATTAATTCAATTAAAATTTTCCCTCAAAAAATAGTTTTTAAAGATTGGCATTATTTTGGGTACTAAATATATTATAACATGTATGTCATATAAAGAAATATGTAAGTATGAATCAATAAGCATTTAGAAATCGTTAACTCAACACAAAGAGACTGAGAATCGTGTTGGAAATCCATCTTTATTAAAATAGCTATTGAAAAGTTGTTTTTTTTGTCAGAACTGAGTACTTCAATTCTTTTACAGAAACATGTTTTTAAAATAATTGCATTTAGCTGAATGCTTGCACTTCAAAACATGAATTTTTAAAGATTATTTTAGAGCTTTGATAACGGAAAATGATATTTAAGTGAATTCTTATGTTCAAACTTTAAATTCTCTTGTTATATTTTCATGCTCGCACTTAGCTTAAAGTACAATTTTTCTTTTGATCTTTCTTCTTAAATTTAGTGTTTGGTAAATATCTATATTATACGCAACAGTTCTGAGTTCCAATAAAATTTTTTCATTATTGCTATAATATCAATATTATGTCTGTAATGGTCAAACATTAAGTCTATACAAATATATCAATTTAATTTATTTTGCACGGTTTTGTTTTATTCAGTTGTAGATATTTCTGAAATTGAAAATAGTTAAACTGCATACTTTGTGCAATTAAATTGCTATTTTATAAATATATCGGTATAAATTATTCTAGAAATTTAAGGAATACCTAAACAATAATATTTTATTAAGAAATATGATTATTTATAGGAGTAATCAGGATTTAAACAATATTTTGAACATTTTAAACTTAACATTGCACAAATTTTATTTTTAAATTTCCAAATTTATAACACTTTTCTGTGTATTTGACCTTACAACCAGTAACTCAGACCTAGTGTAATTGAAATTATTTGGTAGTTAAGTAAAAGTAAATATTTTTTAACACATTTTAAGGTTTAAAGTTTAAACTAATGGTGAAAAATTAACAATGAAATTAAAAGTAACGTATTTACAGTGCAATGCTATGTTTTGAAATTAAAAAAAATAATCAAAGATTGAAAATGTATTTTTTTAAATTCTAGTTAAATACGTGTTCATGGTTTAGAGTTTTGTCTTAGAATAATTAATTTCAATAAATATTATTATTATTATAATAATTTTGTTTTTATTTTTATACTTTATGTGTTTTATTGCCATTATATCTAATCTTTATTCATTGATTTGTAATGTATATTTTATTTTATTGCACTTTTAGATTCCATTAATGGAGAATAAAATGAAGTGGGACAGATCGAAGAAAAAGAAGTTCCCTGATATTGCAATTGAAATGAATAATACCCATTATAACGGTAACGATGAAAAAATAACGAAAGAAGAAACGTCCATACAAATGATTCCATTGTGGTATAATAAACAGAATCCTGATTTGACATCCCCAAATCTTGGAGTTAAGGAACACAGTTTTATTTTACAAAGCGGAGATTCTGGAATTGAATCTGTACAGGTATGTCATAAGAAGTTCGTATTTTCATAGGTGTACCTATCTAAAAAAAAATTAATAAATTAGTCAATTGTAATTTTTCGGAAAGTTTCTTCTATGAAATCAGTTCCCTCTAACACAAACATTTCTAAAAAATAGTTTAAGTTAATTTGAATTCGTAGATATGGTATTAATAATGTAGTTAAATACGTAAATATACCTGTATAGTGTATATTATGTATAGTTTCTACGGAAGGATGAGTTGAGTTGTGGTGTATAAACCTAAGCCACTGACAGCTTCACTCTCTGTCTATTTATATTTTTCTTTGGGCAATAACTGTTTAAACAAAAACCGCTATTATTATTGAACAAAAACTACTGCAAAGTTTAACTTACCTTGTATACCACGTCTAAACCGTTAAAAAAGAATAGACTACTGTCAAAAACAAACCTATAATAGTTGTAAAATATACGCAAAGAAAAAATAATTATATTATACCTTAATATATATATTTATTTAGGCAAGTCCAGCCCAGAAGACGATTAAACCCTGCAGTTCTTCCACAATTGACATATATGACGTTCCAGGCCCATCGACATCAAGAAGATTTAGTTCTGTTTATTTGCATCCCGACCGTGCACGTTTTAATTATCCAAGTCCTGTTGCTTCATCTTCTCGAGATCACAATACAATTGAGGTAGTACATTTTTAGTTAAAATAAATATCTATTTAGTATATTAAACATTTGTAATATTTCATAGACAATTCATAAATAAGTTTTAATAATCTAAAATGTATAATATTTCAAAATATTAATAATTGTCTGAGAATTATTTAAGTGTGTTAATATTTTTTAAATATATTTGACAGAAAAAAATATTAATATCACAAATTAATATTATTAACACGTCATTACGACGTACTTATATCAAATCAAAAATTAAATAATTAAATCTCAATATATAAATATTACCTACTTATTTTACACGTTGTAAAATTTAATCTACAATATTTTGATACTTTTAAAATAATTAACTCGTATATAACTAATATTTATTTAGTATTAGATAACTAAAACATACGTAATATTGAAAAATATATTTTTTGGTTTATGTGATATGCTGATATTTACAGAACGTTGAAATTAGTGTAATACATTTTGACCATTAATAAATCTGTAAATAATATACTTGATGAATCTTAGTTAAACATTTTATTTTATACTGACATTTTAAATAATCAAAAACAATTATTTTATAGATATATTTTAGAATTATTTCAAAAAAAAAAAATATACTTTTTATTTAGAACTTAGACATAGTTAAAATGAAACAATAACTGAAATTTCAATGATTACAGAAAATTCGTACTATAAATATATTTTTTTAAATAAGTATATATTTTTGTAATTGCTCATCTACTCATCAATAATATTGAACTATTATATGCCTAGTTATTAAAAGCTTTTTTATTAAAGCATAATATATAATATATATATATATATATATATATATATATTTAGTTTGCAATACTTACATTTAATATAACATATATTATTGTATAAACTATTGAATTATTCATATAATTATATAGAATAATGAAATGTATTTTAAACTATATTTTGAATTTATATCAAAACTCTGATTGAAATTTATAAAAAGAGGAAAATGTAACTTTCTAAATGAATGGATTTTTCACTTTTCAACTTGCTTACAATATACTGTTATACTGTAGAAAAAACAGATTATGGGACTTATAAAAAAGTAATTTAGAGCATTAATTCGTATACAGTAGTAAATAGTAATGATAGTTCTAAATTTAATTTGTTTGTAAATGTTTTGAGTCCAAAAAATATTGAATAATATAAACTAACTGAGCAAATTTTAAAGTTATTGATTAATTTATGGATGTTTATCTATTTTCTTCTTCAAAAACTCTTATTTATTTCAACATGTTCGATAAAAAGTATCTATTATTATTTTAATAATTTGTTTTATATTATTTTCAATTAAAACTGTGATATTGAACGACATGTTTGAAAATATTTAGTCATACTAAGATTTATTTGATATATACATACCTCTCTTATTTAAATGGAACAATTTAAAATTATAATACAATCATAACAATTAAATAATAAACAATTATGTAACTATATTACAATAAAAAAATGAAATACCTTTAGTTATCTATTTATTAATTATTTAATGTTTAAAAATTCGATTTAAATTAGATACACTTTTATTTAGATCAAATTCCAGCAACATTTTTATCATTATAAATACATAATAAACTTCTAAAAATAAATAAGTTACAAAGTGTTTTTATCTCTTATGAAAACTTTTTTTCATTTAATATGTAAATCAATCTATGTACAATAAGTAATTATGATGATATAGAAGCGTGAGTGGTGTAAAGAGAAAGTTGGAAGTTACCCGTTAGTAATACCTTGATCAATTATTTATTTATTAGTTTTATAAATCGCGATTCTAGTTGCACAAATCCTGTGGGAAGGATTATTAAAAATATAGTTAGCTTGTATTAAAGAGGTTAATTTTGGAGATCAATTTGGGATGAAAATGTTTGTAATGACGTTCGGTAAAGACATTAATGATTAACAGACATAATTTGTATATAATGTTATTTTGTAGTTATCAAAAATATGACGTCAATAACGTTCACTGATTTGCAAGAGACAATTGTTTCTTCATACTTAATTAATATACGTAATTTATAATGTAGTATCTTTTTGTGTTTAATAAATCATTTATGGTTTCATGTTTTCATCTGTTTTGTACCAGCCATAAGGACACGATATTATGACTTAAATTTCTTAGAAACTTGAAGTATTATTTCCAAAATTCAAAACAGAGTTAATACTAAACAATAAATATAGAACATTATTAACATTTATATACACTTATATTTAGACAAACAAACACTTACACATTTATTTAATATACTTAAAAGTTAATTAAATCTACATTTAATAATACATATACTCGTATACATTAAGTATGGTAACATTGGTAACATAATATGCAGGTATATATTGATACATTTTATGTTTTAAGTATAAAACGCATTACTTACAGGAATATAATTTTTCAAAAGCTACCTTGTCTTCATTTTAATTCAAATTTTTATAGCTTCTAGAAGACCTAAACTTTTAACTAAATAACATTTTCGTGTTTTCAATAGTTTATTTTTAAATTTAAAAATAAAAAGTAGATAGCTGTGGAATTTAAATTATTTTAAATCATATTACTTAATAATTTGGTAACTTATTGATTAAAAATTATTAAGATATTGTAAAATAATAAATTTACACAATCTATTATATTTTTTTAATTTTTTTCAATACTGTTTTACAATGCTTAACCATGTCCTAATCAGGTAATTATTTGCAAAACATATAATTTCTAATACATGTAAAGCTATATATTTAAGATGAAATATACCCATAAAAAATGTAAAATAAAAGGAATTTTATTATTTTAAATGAATCTTATAACTAAAAATCACTCAAGGTTAAAGAACTTAACTGATGATTTTAAAGCCTTAAAATCTAATAAATAAATTTAAAAAAAAAGAAAAAGCTCTTTCAAATCTTTTGAAATTAATTTTACACTTGTCAAAATTGGTTGTTTAAACATTTATTTACATAATATATACCAAAGTTAGTACTATAGTACTGTGATTAGTTCATTAGTTTACTATTTTATTGTCAATAATTTTTTTTAGTAGATATTTTATAGTAAGAGAAATTAAAATGAATTAAATATTGTGCACAAACGCCATAAAGCGATTAAAATTGTTTTTATGAAAGTTTCAACAATTATAATATTCTTTTTATTTATTCTTTATAATGAGACAATAAGACATTAAGTACAATACATATTTTTGATATTTTACACATAATTTAAATTATTTGAGAAATGATTTTGAAAATCTAAAATAAAAAATAATTTGAATAATCAAAGTATACGAGTACAATGGTACAATTAAAATATCATAAAACACCGGATAAGACTGAAACATTTTAAATTTATTTTTTAGCGTGCATCAATTTTAACTTTTTAAATTAATTTTCTTCATTGGTTTTTATTTATTCAACCCTGTAATATCGTATATAAGCTGGCATGTACACTAATCGTAAAGTTTCTTAATAGGTAAATGAATGTCGTGATTCTTAATACCGTCTAATTTGAAATTAATTTAGCATTTTATTGCAATGTTTGTACTATAGCTGTATTATTTATATAAATATATCACAATATATCATTTGATTATACAGAGATAAAGTGTACAATTACATAAATATAATGAGTTTAAAGAGAACAAATATCAAGTAACGTTAGGTTTCTTTTTAAATAATTTTCAAATATATTTATGTGTTTATGTAACTTTAGGAACTTAAGTTATAATAATGATTTAATCGATGAACTACTTTGAATTGAAGAATCAAAATAAAATACTTATTATACAAAAATAAACATAAAAATCTCTACCAACTAGTCGATATTAGGATTTAATTAATTAATTATTAGTAACGATATGTTCAATCAATACAAATTACAGAGTTATCAATTATATATATGTTTACATGAGATATTATTAATTAATATTTGGATTTAATCTTTCGTTTTAAATTTACGCAATAATTTTTATGATTAGCATTATAATAATAGGTAGTAAAAAAAAATAATGTATGCCAGTGGGTACCGTTCTGTTATACATTAGGTGTTGAGTAAATCACTATTATGGATATGTTTAATTTGAATTTAACAATATATGGTATTATTGTATAATAAAAAAAATTCTGAGCGAGAACTTTATGTCAAATTAATAAATTTCTAAATATGTTTTTTGATATAGCTATTAAAGCCATTTATTTTAATTATAATTTTTTCTTAGAATAATGTAGTATTTAATTACTATTAAAATCTACATCTATACCAAATTATAAAAATTTAGACAATTCGAAATTTAATTTTTTTTTTTTGTTAATACCGTAAAACAACTAAAACAGATTTTTAATATAAATAGAATATTATTTTAAAATAAATTAAAAATATCATTACGTATAGTAACATTTATGGTAATAATATATAATATACATAAAAGTTTTAAGCTTTCACAAATAATGTTTTTAAATTATAACAAAATAATTAACCTCATTATTTATCGTATAAATAAGTAATTTCGTCCAAATCTGAACTTACAATATTTATAAAAAAAAATAATAGCTTTTATGTATCTTTTTTGATTTTATGATATGAATCTTATATTAAAATTTTTAAGAATATTTATCAATATTAATAAAATAAAACATAAAAAATTTAATATTTGTCACGCTTATAATTATTTTTGAATTAGTTAAAAAAATTTTGAAAATTTTATCCTATAACGAAAATAATAGTATACATATTTTATAAAAATATTTAAGTATTTTAAGCTATTCGTTTTACAGTTACAACAAAAAAACGAAAATCGTTTAAAAAAATTACCTAGTTATTATACGGGTAAATATCCAATATTGTAAGCATTTGAGTTTTAAATTAGTTAAAAAAAATAATTTAAGTTTTGGTAGAATTTTGTTTTATAGAGGTTGTAAAATTTATAAAGAATCTTATATTCAATTTTCATATTGACCTCAAAGTCACCATTTTTTTTTTTTTTTTTGTACTTCTGATA